CATGTCGCGCGGCGACACACCCTGTTGTTGGAAACAGAGATGTGTTTTATTTTTTTTCAAACTCTGATTCTTTTTATTGGTTCCTTACTATTTTACAAACAAAATTCCGCATTCACAAGATATAGACACACCTAGCTAAATTCGAAGTTGCCTTCGCCTTAGACGTGAAAGGTTTGATATTTCTTAGGGTTTGGTCCCAAATCTCTATTTCAATTATTTAATTTAATTATTTGATTTTATATTTTTCTTGAAGTTACTAACGTGTGTTTTTTTTTATTAGAAAGAGGTACGAGGCAACCAAGTAAGTACTTTAATTGTTTTAATTGATATTATGATATAGAAATCATGTTTAGATTATTATTTTGATTCCTAGTATCATGTTAGGGTGTTTAGGGTAATAACTAAAATTTCTAATATCAAGTATGATTGCTATTATGCTTCCTATTTTCTTTCTTAATAGCATGTTAGTATCATGTTAGGGCTAAAGTCTTGATCTTTGATGTTTAGTGACATGCTAGGATTTGTTATTAATCTTGTTAGTATCATGCCTAGGATCTTGCTATTATTATGCTTTAACATGATTATTTTAATTATGATTATTATTATGATTATTATGTTGCTTGTTGCGTTTTATTGTTATTGCTTGATCACGCCTTTCATGCATGTTTAAAGGGAATTTATACTTGTAATCACGCTTAATAAGATAATTAATAATCTTGTTCAGGGCTAATATGATTATAATTCAAGTGATCACCAATAATAGTTTTGTTTGTGCATTAATATTCAGCCAATATAGTTTAAACAGGTTTAGGTTAAACATAATGATTGCATGTTAGTCAAAAAGCGCACATGAATACGAGATAAATAAAGTAGAGGCCTATTATTAGGGCATGTTCTTTCTCTTTTAGATTGGATTTGTACCTTCATCCCCGAACTTCCAGTTTGGGTTCCAGACCTATTGGAGTTAACAATCTCTTAGATCGTTAAGGGGTGTAACCTTCACCCTGTGAACGGTTTACAAGTTCCTAAAACTTGTTGGCGACTCTTTTACTCTAACTTCCTTCCCTTTGGACGCCACCATGCTTAAGTGTATGATCACAGTGGGGTTCAAGTTTGGGGTAATGCTTGAAATATTCCCTACGGGCACACATATCGAAGCAATGTTGACCAGTTTAGCAAAAAAATAAATCCCGCATCACGGGATTTTCTACCGTCTGACGGGATTAAACACCGTGTCGCGGCATAGGGCCGCGTGACACGGTGCATGGCCGCATGTCCTGCACGCTTTTGAAGACTCTTGGCGAATATTCCGGGCATCATTGACTAAGTTTGAACGAGTTTCCGCAGCTTTTGGACAGTTATTTTCTCACCGGAATTACGCGGTAAATTTTAATTGGTATTCAAAGGGTATCAAAATTACCAATTTACCCCTAACAAGCATTAGGGTCACATTTTCGACATTTTAAACACCTAATATGGTCAAATAGTCGACTTGAAGGTAAATTATCTACGGCCCACGTTCGGGGATAATCGAACCATCATACACTTACAAATTTCATTAGACAAGTTTTTTTCCTCAAGCATGGAAAATTGTCGGTTGTTGTCACCTCTCAAAGCAAAGAAGTCAGCGATTATATCAGTTGTCGGCTTTCCTCAAGCATGGATAATATTATCGGTGGATTTCTTCAAGTATAGAAAACCACTAAGTCGGCTTTCCTCAAGCATGGAAAGTATTATCGGTGGATTTCTTCAAGTATAGATCGAAAACCGCTAAGTCGACTTTCCTTTTTCCTCAAGCATGGAAAGTATTATCGGTAGATTTCTTCAAGTATAGAAAACCGCCAAGTCGTCTTTCCTCAAGCATGGAAAGTATTATCGGTGGATTTCTTCAAGTATAGAAAACCGCCAAGTTCATTTGTCGGCTTTCCTCAAGCATGGAAAGTATTACCGGTGGGTTTCTTCAAGAATAGAAAAACGCCAAATTCATATGTCGACTTTCCTCAAGCATGAAAAGTATCATCCGGTATATTTCATCAGGCTTAGAAAGCTACCAAACTCATCAGTCGATTTTCCTCAGGCATGGAAAGTGTTTTAGCGAAACGTCATTCGGTGGATTCCTTCAAACATAGGAAGCTACCAAACTCATTTATCACCGATACACTGGTGTCAGATACGCATTCCATCCCTTTACTCTTTTATGTAATACCCCGTATTTTCAAACTTATTTTCTAATTATTTAATTAAGAAGTATTTTATAAAAAGGGTATTTTAGTAAATTAATTATTTGGAGCCAAAATAATATTTGAATTTTGGCGCCAAAAGTTTTTTGAAAAATAATTATTATTTTGGATAAGATATATTATCCATTTATCCTATCTTAAAAAACGGATTATTTACATATTTCGGATATTTTAATTAAAGCAAAAATATTATTTTAATTAATTAATTATTATGGCCGAAATTACCTAATAACTAGCTAAGATTTTTGAATTTTCCATGAATGGAAAATCTGATTTTTCTTGGTAAATAATTGGTATCTAATTAATTAATTATTTAATTATTATTCTATATTTTCATACAATTATTTTATTCCTTAAAAACCGAGAAAAAACTTCCTAAATATATCTAGAGGAATCCGAATATTTGAGCTATGGTAAGATCAATATTTTCGGCCCTCATGAATTATTTTGGGGGAATTTATTTGGTAAAATTATATTTTTAATTATCTCCCAAAATCTCCTATTTTCCATAATTCTAATTCTCCATCTTTTTAATATCCAATCATCATATTTTCTTGCCATTCATTCTTCTTAATTATTCCCCAAGTAATTATAATTTCCTTATAATTTTTCATGACATACATACCTTCCATATTCAAGTACACACAATCACCTTAATATCCAAACTTTCCTTAATTCTTTTATTCACCTCTCCAAGTAATCCCTTAAACCCTACTTACCATGATTCTTCCCACATTCTCTTGCCATAATTCTTGCATGAGCTAGCCTATAAATACCCCTTCATACCTCTCACATTCTTTACACCAATTCTCTTCTTTTCTTCTTCTCAATTTTACACAAATCATCCCATTTATCTTGGAAGCCAATTTTCTAGAACTTCTGATCGGTTTTGGGGTATTGACGTTTCACAAAAAATTGTTTCTCTCGAAAATTCATTGAGGTTAGGCTCAAAAATAACCCAATTCGGAGTTATATTGAAGGAGTTTTGGCCTCTGCAAATTCTGCCTATTCTTTCCAACGCAAATCCAATTCTTCTCTTTTCCTTGGTTTCTTATCCTTTCTTATTCTCTTCTCTTATTAAATTACTATTATTATTATGGGAGATTTATAAATAATTACTATGAGTAGTTTTAATTATATAAAATCAGATTTTTAATGATATTTATGAGAAATTAATTTAAAAGGTTCATGTACATATAGTTGGGGGTTTTTAATTATTTGTTAACCTTATATTGATTAAGGTTATATTTATTTGTAGGGTGTGTTTGATCAAGGTTCTTGGTGTTATTTTTGTGTGGTTTTTCTAGCAAGGACCAAGGTACGTTTAGGTGGCTAGATACCTTTGAAAGTGATTGGTTTGAATAACATGTTTTTACATGATTTGATTGGTAATTGAATTAAATTGATTTGAATTATGATTGAAGGTATTGATTTTAATAAAAGTATTTTGAATGATTGATTTTTAAATCATGTTTTGAATGGTTTGGATTACTTATTGTGTTTAAATAAAGGAATCGATTTTAAAATATTTGTTGAATTAAATAAAGGTTTTTCAAGGAAGAGTTGTTGATTTTGATAAGTTATTAATATGAGATTTTATTCTCAAGTATTTATTTACGAGTTTTGGTTTTGAAAGCTGTGGATTAATTAAAAAGGATTTTGAATTATATTGGAACTATTGGATATTAAAAGGATTTATTGAACCATTGAATTATTATTATTATTATTAATGCTTTATAGGCATGTTGGTAATCCCACTATGCGGATTTGGTTTATTGATAAGGCCTTGGACTTTGTACGACCGGGTCTTTCCTCAAAAATAGCCTTGTAATATAAGGAGACTAGCTTGGGGGGTGTGCACACTTGGGTGAGGAATTGGATTAAAAGGAATTGGTTCTTAATAAAGGAATTGGTTTTATCAACTATTATTTTGAATATGAATCATTGGAATCGGTTTTGGAATAATGAGTTTTGAATTTATTGGATTAATTATTGGAATTGGTTTTAAAAGCATTTTGCAAATAAATTGAGTTTACATTACCTTGCACTTATCGTACTTAGCATATTTCGCTAATCCGTATTTCTTATTTGTTTTGGTTCGCCCTATTTACCGTAATGGTAAGCAGTGTTGACTATTTTCAGGTGGAGTCATGAATGAGCATATAGGAGTCCCGAGATTTGCTTCACCTATTTTAGGAATGTTGGTCTTGTCTTTATTTTTGAGTACTCATAACAATGTTATTATTTTTATAAGTATTAATAATAGAAAGTTGAGTTTTCGCTGCAAGTTTTATTGTTGAATTAAGTATTTTGAGTAGCCTTGCGTAATCACGCGGCGGTAATGCGCCCAAGTCTATCCCTACGGTATAATTATACGTATTATACTGGTATTTCCGTAGAGTGAGATTTGGGGGTGTTACATTTTCACTACGTGAAAAAACGAATTTGGCACCGGTTTAAACCCGGCCTAAGGCACCGGTTTGAACCGGTGCCAATGTGGAGGGTGCCATAAACCCAATTTTTAGCACCGGTTCAAAACCGGTGCCATAGGGTCAAATAGGCACCGGTTAACCAGTGCCATAACTTTTTTTTTTTGGGAATTAAAGTCAATTGGCACCGGTTAACCAGTGCCAATTCATGTATTTTTTTTAATTATTTTTTAGTTTGATTTATCCACTTAGACACATAATATTTTATCCACTTAAATGAAATGAATATTGATCAAAATTGATCATTAAATAAGAAATATAATCAGAAACATATAACAAGCTTGAATACGAAATATATTGATGATTAAATTGTTATTTTACAATACAAAAAAATAAAATAAATTACAATATCAAAATCCAGAAAAAAAAAATTATAACATTGAAGAAAAAAAAAATTACACATCGAAGAAAAAAAAAATTACAACATTGAAATCCAAATTCCAAAATCAACACCTTGATTCTTCACCTGCATCAATTAAAACACCGACATTAATAAAAACTCACTGTAAACTAAAATTACGAAAATTAAGATTCAAACTCAGAAAAAAAATTGAAATTCAAACCCAGAAAAAAAAATTAAGATTCAAACCCAGAAAAAAAAATTGAAATCGCAAAAAAATTAAATCGAAAAAAAATTAAATCGAAAAATACCCAGAAATGGAAATAAATTGAAATCAAAAAAAATTTGAAATCGAGAAAACCCAGATAAAAAATAAAAATTAAAAAACCTAGAAACCGAAAAAACAAAAAAGCAAAATCGAAAACAAAATATATTAAAATCGATTAAACAAAAACAAAAATCGAAAAAAAATTCAAAATCAAACATAAGAAAAAAAATATTACAGAAATCGAAAAATAAAAAATCAAAATCGAAAACAAAATATATTAAAATCGAATAAACAAAATCGAAAAAAAAATCAAAATTGAAAACGGAAAAAAAAATGACCCAGAAATCGAAAACCAAAAAATCAAAATCGAAAACAAAATGTATTACAATCAAAATCGAGAACAAAATGTATTAAAATCAAAATCGAAAAAAATAAATCAAAATCAAACCGGTTCGTGGTGTTGCATGTGCTCGTGGTGGTCTCTGTGGTGGTGTTCGTGGTGGTCTTCGTGGTGGTCTCCGTGGTGGTCTTCGTGGTGGGCTTGAAGGAGAAGGAGAAGGAGACGTGGTAGCTTAGTCTTGAGGGAGAAGGAGGAGATGAGAAAGACTGGTGAATGATGAGCGAAAGAGGAGGAGAGGAGAAGAGAGAGAAAAAGAAGGAGAGAAGAGGAGAGGAGAATCGATGAATTGAGTTTTAGGGTTTGGGGGGTTTATATATGGGAGGGTTTTTTTTATCATAATAATGTTAAACCGGTTTCTTTTTAATTAAGGAGTGGTTCAATTGGCACCGGTTCAAACCGGTGCCCTTTTAGTTTTTGGCTACCAGTTTGGTCTGAACCGGTGCCTTTTATAATTGTGTAAAATGGCGCCCAAATTTAGGCCGGTTTAGGGCACTGGTTTGGCCTGAACCGGTGCCTTTATGGGGGTGCCTTATTGTATTTTTTTTACTAGTGTTTATCTGTAGAACTAACATTTTTCTGCAAATATCGGTGTATAAAGAGTGATTTAGGGTCGCATAACGTCTTAAATCATTCTCCGTCCCTATCAACTACTTTGACTATCGTTTTTGAAACTGACGTTTCTACAAACTCAGTCAAAGTGGGGGCTTCTGTAGACACCTAAAAATGTCTCCCCGAAATCAAACCCGATGATGAACAACCTTTCACCGCCATTATTGGTCGGGTTCAGTATTTAATCCCGAGAGTGATTAAGAAAATCATATTTAATTAAATTCAATTTTTAAATGGTCAACAAATTAGTCTTGATGTTAAGTCAAAGCATAGTAAAATTTTTATTTTGGCCCAAACCTTTTTATTCATTTTTTATTCTTTTTATTTATTTATTTTTTATTATTATTTTAGCCTAATTAATATAAAATAAACCAGAAATGGCCCGAATATGTGAATCGACACTTAAAAAGGCTGCATTTTATTAGGGCAAAAATGTAAAATGGGACACTAGGTCTGTCGCGTCACGACAAACTGTGTCGCGTCACGGGACTCACTGTCGTGCCACGGTGTGGTTCCCCATGACAAGGTGTCAGTGCCGTGACACGGGACAGTCCCGTGTCTTTTCTGCGTAAACCCTTCACGCGTTTTACCTCCCGTAGGTAAGATATTTCCCGTGTCACTCCAGTACATGTTGCGTCACACAACATTTTTCCATGTCACGGCAATTTTTGCCATGTCCGACAGTGTTTTTAGGGTTTTTAATCCTTTTTAGGTTCCGTGTGTTCCCTCTACTCATTTTCCCTATAAATAACCCCTCATTTCTAATTTACGGGGCATCAATAAATTCTCTCTTTTCTCTCTTCTATGCTCTAGCCTAAACATTAGCCTCCATATTCTTTCAAAATTCCTTCCTTAAACACTCCAAAGAGTCCATACTTTACTCGAGGTTTTGTCCTTAAACCAAGACGTGAAAGGTAGAACTGTTTGAGGATTTGGCCCCTAAATCAACTCTATTTAATTTAATTTAATTGTTGTTTTATTAATTTTCCTCGAAGTTACTAACTCGTTTATTGTTTTATAGTTGCAAGCAAACAAAATCAAAGTAAGAATTATGTACCTTTTATTTCTATTATTTTTCTAACGATTTTATATTGTTGGATTTATTGTTAAATTGCTTCTAATATTAATGTTTATTCTATTATTATTATTATGATCACCATGTTGTATGTTAAAGAGAATATGTAATTGAAAATCACGCCTAATAAGATAATTTGGACAATCGGTTTAGGATCCTTTTTAATCATGTTGTTAATCGAAGTGATTACGATATTTTAGAATAATGTGTTGCATTAATATTCAAACAATTTAGACTAATAAGAGTTTGTAGCAAATTGAATATTTTGTTTGCATTCCTTTGAGTTCGCAGGAATGTTTTTCACTGTAAGAATCGAGTAGAGGCCAATACGGGCGAACGTGACTCCATGACTCACTTCGTACCATCATCCCCGATCTTCCTTTCGTGGTTCCGAACCATATAGAGTTAGGCCCTATTCTTTTGAGCTTCTGGGCAGAGCAGAGCAGGGGTCAGTAGAGCAGAGCATATTAAATTTCAGCAGAGCAGATTTCAAGATAGCAAAGCCGAGCCGAGCAGATTTCAACATTATTATTAATACTACTACTACTACTATTATTATTATTATTATTATTATTATTATTATTATTATTATTATTATTAGAGGAAGCCCCAGTTAATCTCCGAGATTAACACTCCAAGTTAATCTCCTCTCACAATTTTATGCATTTGTTTTCGTGCCACTTTACTATTTCACTTTTATTATTTTAAAAATAAAAGTAAAACAATATATTGTAAGAGAAGATTAACTTTTCATGTCAATCTCAGAGATTAACTTGAATTCTCTCTTATTATTATTATTATCAATGTTATTATTATTAATGTTGTTGTTATTATTATTACTATTACTATTACTAAGTGCATATACCATTGATTTAGGTGAGTGAAAATATAAATATATGTATACCATATTTAACATATGTTAATAGTAGAATGATAAAAGACAATAGTTTACTTATATTTATTTCACCAAAATTTTAAAATAAAATGATTTAATGAGTAATAATGATTTTACTTATAAATTTTTCTTAATAATATATTTTTAACCATAAAAATAATAATGATATACAAAGTACTACTTGAAAACAACCTCTTTTTTTTAATTCTTAAATTGTATGGAATGATTTGAAAAATAATTCAACTCAATGAACTAACAATCAATACCCACATACATATAATGTTTCTACACATTGTGAATCTAATATCAAATATTTATAAAAGAAATTGTTATTAATTGTTATTATTATTTATTTTTTTGAAAGAATTATTATAATTATTAGAAATTATTAATTAACAATATTATTAAATATTAATTCTTAATAGTTTGAATTATTAAATATTAATAATGATAACTATTATTATTAATTATTATTATGATTAATAAATATTAATTATTAATAATATTAATAATTATTAAAATTATTTTAAATATTAATAATTATTATAGTTATTCAAAATAATAAATTATTATCATCAATACTATATTAATTATTATTATTATTGAATATTAATTATTATTGTTATTATTAATTATTATTTGAAAATAAAGCAGAGCAGTGCAGAGTAGAACATATCAGATTTCTTTTGAGCAGAGTTGAGCATATTTGATTTGAGCAGAGCAGGGGTCAGCAGAGAAGGGGTCAGCAGAGTAGAGCAAAGCAGAGCAGCTTTAAAGAACGGGGCCTTAGTAATCTCATGGATTATGAATGAGGTGTAACCTTCACGGGTCAATCATTGTTGTCATCGTTGTCCCTTATTCGTGGTTGCTTTTTTTGATCCGTGAACGGTTTACAAGTTCCTTAAAAACATTGTTGGCGGCTCCCTACTTTGCTTTATCCCTAATCGTAACATGCCAATTCCCACTTCCTATGAGTGCCAAGCATATTCACACATGCTTTTAACGTAAGCGCACTTCAAGCGACGCCTACAACTACACACACTAACTATACAAATAGTCGAACATAATTAAGTACATAAACTAGCAACCCGGGGCATCGCGCGGGGTACACACTAGTTAACTATTATATATTGACAAATTTTGGTATTAATCATATGCTTTCTGTTTTAATCTAGGAAAAATTGAAAAGAATAATCCCACCTTTGTTCAACCTACTCAAAACAAGCCAACCTTTGCATATTCTGGGAACGGGCCAACCTTTGCCCCCTATTTTCTCAAAACAAGCCTTTGACCTGTTTTATAATTCGGTAACCGGTTTTAGAAGGTGACTTGCCACGTGTCACCTTCTAATTGGTTATTAGCTTAAAAAAACAAAAAACAAATAAAAAATTATAAAAAAAAAAACACATCCTTCCTCCTGACTCAGCCCCCACCACCACCATAGCTACCCCTTTTCCCGCCGACCCATCGCCATCAACCAACAAAACCGCACAACCACCGAGCCTTGACTAACTGACCACAACCAGCACCTTACATCGACCACCGCTTCCAACAACCGCCCATCACCACACAACCTCCTTCCTCTCACAACAGCAAGCCACCAACCCACCACCAGGCACCAGCAATTTTCGATTTGATAGATAATCTCAGCGGACTGAAACTAGCCCTTATTCACTCCTAACGACCACCGTCATCTTCCCCAAATCAACCCCTTCCCCCTGCTTACCCCCTTCTCTGCCGGAGTAACTCATCCACCTTACCCCACGAACCGAAACCACCCTCGCCCCTTCGTCACCATACAAAACCCACCTCGAAGCAAGCAATTTTGTTTTCGATTATTTTGGAAATCAAATTGAGTATTTCTTTAAACTCTTAGGCACCTTCAACTTCAATTACTGTTTTACAGTCTAATTTTGGGGTTGGGTGGGGTGGAGCTCTGGTACACGCGGTGGATTTCGGGGAGAATGGGCTTCAATTAAGGGGGTTGTGGATTGTGATGGTGGTCACTGGTTCAGTGGTGGGGCTGTGGTGGGCGTGGGAGTAAGTTTGGTTCAGCAATGGAGGTGTTAGGTGGTGATGTGGTAGTAATGGTGAAAGGTGCTGGTGATTATGGTGGTGAAGATGATCAAAGAAAAAAAATTACAAAAATAAATAAATAACCTTCTCATCAGGTAACCTGTAAAAGGGACCGTTTAAAGAAAATAAGGGGTAAAGGTGAGCTTGTTCCCGGATTTTCCAAAGGTCGGCTCGTTTTGAGCAGATTGAGCAAAGGTGGGATTATTGTTTTCAATTTTTCCTTTAATCTATTATTCACAACTATTGGCGTCAATTATGCTTTCTATTTTAATTCAACTATAACATTGCTTTATTAAAGAAGCCAATAGAACATGATCTGCAGGTTTTACTCTTCTCAAAACACAACCTTAAAAAACCACAATGGAATCTTGTAATGATTGAAGCTATTGAAGACATTATTACCTTTGGAAACCTTCTCAATAAACTCACAGGGCATCCAAATTATTATGAAGAAAACTATAATTAAGTTCAGTCCCTACATATTTGATAAGCTTCTAAAAACTTTTTTTTTAAATAGAGCTACTAGGAGAAAGGGCAATGGAATTTAAAGGGAAGTTGCCACCATCAGCTAGAACTACATTATCCTACATATAAATATCAGATTAATTGATGACTCTATGCTTGGAACAAATACCAATATTGACAATTAGACACTAAATACAAAGCCTCTACAGTCATAGTTTATACATACAAAGACATCACAAGTGCATGTTTTGGGTTTCACACAATGCAACTATTGAAAGGCATACATCATACATGTCATTTAATATGATTCACTACAAAAATCAACAACTTTTATCAAAGGATTAGATTTATTGACATAAAAGAGTATTTGACGGGGCATACATGTCAAATTTTGCAATATTCCTATAGAAAACTAACTTAATCAATAAGAGTCTGTCAAATAGCATTATATTCATTAAAATTGTGCTTCAAATCTATAATAACTAAAGGCCAATTTTTCATAATTGATTTAAAACAGTAGCGCAAATTAAACCTAGATACAAAAAGAAACCTTGAAATCTCTATTGTTCATCAATTGAACCCATAATCCGACTATAAATTCTGTAACATTGTTGTGGAAATAAATAAATAAATAATCCACAAAACCAATTCCGAAATAAAAAAAGATGTACCTCAGTATTATCAGCACAAAGATAAAGGGACAAAATAGATGACAATTAGACAAAGATCTGAACTTGAAATTGATGTACCTTAATTTCAAATTGCTTTAGAGAGAAAAAAAATCTAAATTTATAGTGTTTTACCTCATTTCGAAAAAGAATCAGGGACTAAAATTTGATGAATTTGAAACTGATGTAACACACTTCGAAATTGATACAAAGAGGGAAAAGATCTGAATTTGTAATTGATGTACGGCATTTCGAATTCAACCTAATGAGAGACAAAAATCTGATTTTGAAATCCATGGCTCCATAAGCCTCTGTAGATTTACGAAATAAGGAGATCGGAGAAGAAAAGTTAGGGTTGATAAGTGTAAGTAGTGGAGGAGTTTTATATTTTCCCTAAATTTTGTTATCGTGGGTTTTGTGTAATACCCCAGATTTTCTAGCTAGTATAAACTATTAAACTTTAATTATAAGAAAAATTGAAAAAAATAATCCCACCTTTGGCACATTTTCTCAAAATAATCCCACCTTTACGTATTCCAAAAATAATCCCACCTTAACACCCCATCTGCTCAAAGTAGTCCTTTTACCAGTTTGTAAAGTTGATAACTGTATTTAGAAGGTGATTTGATACGTGTCACCTTCTAATTGGTTCTTGTTATTTTTTTAATTAATAAAGAAATAAACAAAAAAAAATTAATAATCCTTAACTTCTTCTTACTTACGACCTTACCCTGCCAAAGCTCCCTCCATCGCCGGACCCAGCCGCCGCCGGAACAGCCACCACCGGCACAGCTAGACCAGCCGCCCTCCTTAATTCCCTCCTCTTCCCCGTTCCCCCTTCCACTATACCTTCCCCGTTTCGGCGATTCCCTCCTCAACCCAACAGAAACTCGAATCGATCCGCCGCCCAGCTGGCGCGTTGATCGAGTTTTGAGCCGGAAACCATAACCCCACCAGACTTGAGACCTCCACTCCGAACTGCCAACCACATCACCGCCTTTATTTCCGATGAATCAGCAGCCCGGACCACCGATTGACACACATGCTCCAGATCTGCCGAACTGTCCTCTCCTTTGTTAAGGCCACCGTTAATGGTGGTCTTACCACTTTTCTCATCTTCAAACATCTTTTTCGGTCAAAAATCCACGACCGAAGCTCAGCCGCCCTTCCTCATGTGGGGTTTTGAGTTGGGGGTTAGGAGTGGATTCATGTGTGGGGATTGGATATGGCAGATTGCAGCCCCTTATCTCTTCCCCAATTCTAGTGGGTTTAATTTCGGGGTTGAGGTCAATTCGGCGGTGATGGATTGGTGTGGGTGGTGCTGTGGTGGTAGTGATGGTGGTTGTCAGGGATGAAGGGGGTGAGGACGTGATGTGAGAGTACAGGAACTAAAGAAAAATTAAAAAAAAAATAATAACCTGTAAAACAGGTTGGAGGTAAAAAGGACTATTTTGAGCAGATGAGGTGTTAAGGTAAGATTATTTTTGGAATACACAAAGGTAAGATTATTTTAAAAAGATGTGCTAAAGGTGGGATTATTCTTTTCAATTTTTCCTTAATTATATATGTTACTTTAATAGATTTTATAATTATTATTTTCGGATTTGATATTAAAAAAAAAAAAACTGGAAACTGATAATTTCGAGAAATTGATTTTGGATAATTTTCAGAAACTGATTTTGAAAAAAAAATGATTTCAATGTAGGATTCAATCTTATTGAAAAACTAATTTTATCTACAATTTGAATTTTAATCTTATCATAGTTAGTTACATGAATCTATCTTATACCACAATTCCACCCAATATAATTGTTGGCCGTGAAAAAGGGAGTGCACAAAGAAAAAAAAATACTACTACATTGCTTCTTCTTTCACCCCATCTCCTTTAATTGGTAAGCCAAATTGATAGGTAAGAGAGCTCATAATTCTTCTTTATTATTTTAATGACTTTAACTAGTCAATTAAGCTCCAATCTTACAACTAGAAACCTTTAACTCCTTTCATTGTTCAACCCGTAACTTCGTTGCCGAACCCGATCTTTTGGGCACTTAAATCGAACTTGTTGCTTATCTCCATTGTTATAGCTCAATACTACACCATCAAAGCTTCAACTCATACCGTCAATTATCATCATCATTATTGCTACACACATTTCCTCTTCCGAAATTTGTTAAATCCATCAAAATACTACTAGTATATATATTCTGCTATTATCTTACAAAAGGGGGAGTGGAACAAGATACAGTATATGGGTTGGAGTATTATATATGTGGTGGTGGATTGTCATATTTTGTAAACATTTAATTTGATGATTTCATAAGTTTGGTTAATGGTGTTTTGTGGGTTTCGTTTCTTTTTTTTATAAAAAAAAATGAAAGAATTTTACCTTTGACTTTTGGTTTTACGAAAGCTAAATGGTCATCTTCAATATTTATCACTCAACTTATTATCAATTAGTGTACTTATGGGGTGATTAGATTATGGGTGGTAATATGTTGATCTTACGCCTAACTTCTCAATTAGTTGCATAATTATCTAACTTAGGCTATTTATTTGTTTAATTGTAGACGAAGGTCGTATAGGTGATTACTCGAGGAACTACTAACCTTTGTCCACGAGTCCTAGAAGTAATTTTCAATGTCCATCATCTTTAGAATCCCGTTAGGAAATTGTTTTGAAATATTGTGTGTCAACTATGTGCTTATGTAATTATATGTGATGAGTGTGATATCGTATGATATTATGGAATCATATTATATATTAGTTTTCTATTTTGTGTACTAGTATATGTACTTTCGAAAAAATTTATTATTTGATATAGTATGATTTTCTTTCAAAAATAAATAAGATCTTGGGTATGGATGATTGATTATATGTGATTGATGGTCTATATGTCATGTAGGATGACTATGGTCTAATAATACTGAAATTGAATTATTGTTACTTGGAATGAAATTGATTTGTGCAATACTTGTGTACCGTGTAATCGGATGATTTAATCTAATAAAATGTACAGTGAAATTTAATTTAAGAAGGGAAATGAAACCCGAAAGGGTGAAGAACAAGTTGCCACTAGTAGTTATGGTTGCTATTAGTTGGTTTAAATTATTGTATATTGATGTTAGTCCTCCTCCTAATCACTGGATATTAATGAGGGGTGTGCACACTAGGGACATTATGTTTATTTCATGGCCATTTGGGGTTACGCGCGACCCTCTGTAAAGTAGGTGGTGACAGGGACTAGTCCCGGCTTACTAGCGTTCTCTTTCCCTTTCTTAAATAAAGTAATAAAATGTTATGTGATTAATTGAACTTGGTTGAGTATTAAAATATTTATGAGACTATATTATGTATAAAATGTTTTGAACTAAAATTATTTATTTTACGGGATGGAGTTGAAATTACTCAGTTTATCTGATTTTTTGAATTTTCTCTCTTTTCTTGTTTCTGATTTATTTTGCAGGTTGGTAAGAGGGTACTCGATTACGTGTGAGGAGACGCTAGAATAATTACGTAGCTAAGAATATTTAGTTTATTTCCGAATTTAGTTATTTCCTTACAACTATTGGTTTCAAAATAATTGCAGTTTTGATGTAATGACTATTTTATTTGCCACCCATTAGACCACTTAGTTTGTTTATATATTATTTCATTTTGCTTTGCATTTATTTTCTATGGAAAATAAGTGTAGCAGTAACACTCCCAGGGTTCGATGGTTCGGTTTGAAGGTTAAAGGTTACTCTTATTGTTTTTAAAAGACTCGAATTTTGGGGGTGTTACATTTTGCATCACGTGTAGGGCATGTGCGAGATTTTTGTGACACTTTTTTTATGACGAAAATCAATTTCGACCTGGAAAAGCGTCGACAAAATGCGCATAGTATATTTTTAGCTGACACTCCTTGCCTTGCGTCGAGGGTCCAGCGTCGATAAAACACTCTTTTTGTAGTAGTGTTCAGGAGACTCTTCTTGGTATGGTATGCTTGCAAGAGAAACAAGGGACTCGGTATGTTTGGACTGCGCCATAATACGTACTCCAGCTATTACAAATGACAGTTTGGACATGATTATTGCTTTATAAGTAACCATGCATCGTCCAGTCTACTTGCTGCATTTAATTTAATTGATTAAACAATATTATAATCCTGTTTCAATTCCCTGTAGCTCTTTTCTTGAACTATAGAATATCTTAGCTTATGAGTTTCCTAAAAGGAAGATGCACCTTGCTGATATGAGTAGTATATCAAATCCTTTTAAAGCAATCATGAGGGGTATTACATACATCCCCACTTGAGAACGGCAACTATCAAAGGTCTTTTCTATTCCCTGTCTATTCACTTGAGAACGGCATTTAATTTAATTGATTAAACAATATTATAATCCTGTTTCAATTCCCTGTATCTCTTTTCTTGAACTATAGAATATCTTAGCTTATGAGTTTCCTAAAAGGAAGATGCACCTTGCTGATATGAGTAGTATATCAAATCCTTTTAAAGCAATCATGAGAGGTATTACATACATCCCCACTTGAGAACGGCAACTATCCAAGGTCAGCACGCAGTCGCAAGTTGCTCTGATACCATTTTGTAATACCCCGACCCCAAACAAATTAGGGAGGGGCCTATTGTCACGAAATGCACATATAAAGGGCCAATATTTGTCCCCACAAACCAACACAAGTCCTTCCAACGCATTTGTCTCCACTCATGCGCACCCCGAGAAAACTTCCCAGGAGGTCACCCATCCCAAGACTACTCCCATCCAAGCACGCTTAACTATGGAGTATCTTAGCTTATGAGCTCCCTAGAAAGAAGATGCACCTTGTTGATATGAGTAGTATATCAAATCCTTTTAAAGCAATCATGAGGAGTATTACATTTCGCCTACGCGGGACGCCAGAGATGACCGGGAAAAAAGAGAGAGAAAGGGATTAGATAAACCCTAAGAGAGAGAGAGAGAGAGTAATTAACATCAATAATCTTAAAATCTAATTATTTTTTTTAAGGTTCTAATTATTTCATTTTCTGAGATATTAAAATAAGAAAATCTAATTTGAAATTGATTTTTAGTATTTTTGAAAATTACAAAAGTGAATTTTTGGAAAATTAAAAATGAAGGAGGTTTTTTTTTTTTTTTTTTTGTGGCCATGAGGGTGACTAAAGCTTGGTTCGTGGAGGCGGATGCACGATCCGCATGTGATGTGTCTATTTTATATAGTATTTTACCCCCGTCCCTTGGTCATAATTAGTAGTGTTTTTGGCTCTTTAGAGCCACTTTTATTACTAATTGGTGTTTTCTAGTGTTTTCGTAGATTTGGTTGACTTTTGCAGGAATTTGCACTTTTGGAGCATTTTCTCGAGATATTAGGAGCAATCACGAGCACTGGAGAAGTACGATCAATTTTTATAGCCCAGGGCCGGTTAAAGCCATCGAACCGGTGATTAAGGGCTCGGTATATGTGATACCGGGGCATTTGGACCGAGTATTCAAGACCCGAAGAGGAAACCCAGATTGGCCCGAAGGATTGGAGCCCAATCGTAGTTCAAATAGTGACCCAAGAGAGCCGCCCGGACAAAAAGGCTGGCGCCCGGCCGGGCGAGAGAAGCAAAGGTCGGTGCCCGGTGACGCGCCCGGCCGGGCGCGAGATTTGTACTGACGAGCAAAAAGGCGCGCCCGATTGACAGGGTAAAGTCGTATCCCCAAATCAAAATTAATTCCTAAATCCTCTAACTAATGTAGATAGGGAAGTAGGGTCGAATCCACGGAGAAACGAGTCTTTCTATTCCTAATTAACTAAAGTAATCTAAATTATAAAGTAACCAATATGTGAATTTGAATGTGAAACTAAACTACGAGGATCAAGAATAAGGAGAAAAAATGATATATAAAAGGATCTAGGGCATAGGTTCACCAATAAATAATATTCCAGGGTAGAATATAATAATCATTCATCAATGCATACATTAATCAGATTATAAAGGGCTTTCGCTACGTATTATAATCACACAATTAATTTACCGGTATTAAATCTCATCTTTCGAATCTCGACTTAACCATTTATAAATTAACCTGCCTGTTGAAACTAGACCTAAACATCAATTCTCATCTGTCGAATCTCGAACCAATATTTTCAAACTCATGCATAAAAGATCAGGCCTAATCTAGTCACATAGCATTAAATCAATCAATAGGAAACTAATCTTGCATTGACAATTAACAACCATAAATTACCCCTTCATATTATTTATGGATCCCCATAAACCCTAGAAATAAAACTACTCACACATAATAGAAACTAAACTAATCAAAGCAATAAAACAAGACATGATCAAAGGAATAAAATAAACAACTGAAATTAAAAGAGAAGAAATTGTTACCAAAAGAAATCTGGATTAATGAAAGTAATTAAGAACAAAGTTGAGAGAGAATTTAAGAGAGAGAAAATCTAAAAGAGAA